AAGTTTCCTATGCCTTTCTTCACTCATGGGAAGACAAGAGAGGTCAGAGCATAAACCTGTTGTCAACCTCTGGCTACTTGGCTAAGAGTTCCAGTTTGTGTGACTTTCTGGAGTAAGGGAAGTAGTCCAGACTCTCTGACAGCCTTCTTGCTGTTGGAGTACCCCCATCTAATAGATCATCAGACAGCCACAGGACAGAGGAGCCTGGGGAGTCTCAAGTGCGTGCTTGCCTTTTGTCTGTTAAGCTTGTCTAGCGTAGAAACCCACCTATCCCTGCGCTCTGTGTAGTGTTCACCGATTGGGAGGTTAGTGGAACATGTGTGATTGATGGTTGTGTTAATCAGAGTAATACCAGGCATTACTCTGATTTGCAGGGCACCTGCAAATACTGTAACTGGGATGACTCAGGTTAAATGTTTCTTTCTTCAAAAATAAAAGCAAAAATCAATCCATCAAGCAAGCAAAGAGACCCTCACATAGGCTCCAGAACAATCCTTTATTGCCAGTTCACAACAGAAGTATCAATTGCGTGTCAGTCAGTAAACATTGGAGCCAAGGGGATAGGAACAAATTTCGTATACGAGAACCCCCTCCAGGCCTCAATTCGTTGATGACATTAGTTCTCTTGGGCTACAAAACTCTTTTCACATCCGGGGTGTGCAAGTGCTTCTATGGGGATGTGCGCGAGGGGAGACGGAATTAGTTCTCAGACAGCACAGGAATTACCCACTTTGAGCATCCAGTGCTAGTGAGGGTGTGGAGAAACGGCGAGTCTCCTGTTGGTGGGAAGGCTAAATAATGCAGGTGCGGTGTAAAACAGTGAGGTGGTACTCCCAGAATTAAAAATGGAATTACCTTGTCATTGAGCAATTTCTCTTCTGGGTATGTATCCAAAATAATCCGGAACAGAATCTCAGAGGGATGGTTGCACACTCAAGTTTACTGCAGTGTTATTTCCAGCAGCCAAGGGACAGACACTACCCAAATGATACCTGCATATCAGGAAACACGATTGAGCCTTTTAAAAGAAGGAAATCTAGACATTTGTTTCGACTTGGGTAAATCACGAAATGACCGCTGTTCTGTAAGCTCATAGAAGACATCCCATTGCGCTGGGTAGCTGCTGTTTGTTTGGTTTTTCTTCTTGGCACAAGCAAGAGTAACCTAAGAAGATGGAAACATAATTGAGAAAATGCCCTACTAAGACAGGTCTGTGGGCAAGCTTGTGGAGCTGATTGATGGCAGATGTGGCATAGCCCAGGGGCTGGGGGTCCTGGGTGCTATAAGAAACCATGCTGAGCAAGCCATGATGCAGTTCTGTGGGGATCACAGATCCTGGCCAGAAATGCACCCCTCCATCAGCCTGGGAGCAGGCAGCTGCACAATGTTTACAGAAAACATGTTTACTGAAAACAATTCAGTGCCATAAGCTCCTGATAAGGGCTTGATAAGGGCTTGATAAGGGCTTGATAAGGGCTTGATAAGGGCTTGCTCACTGAAACACCCTGACTTTGATCCCCCCCCACCCATGGCTAGCTACTTCTTCCTGCTCCCTGCTGTTCCAGATTCTGGTGCCAGAGATTTAACCACCAGCCAGGAGGAAGGAGAGGTCTGTGAGAGGTGTGTGAGAGGACTGTTGGAGATTTGTGCGTGTATGGATGGCAGAAGTTTTTCTGGAGGGAAGCGGTTTTCTTGGGAAGTTCTCCGAAGCCGATTTGGGGAGCATAAAGTTTTCTTAACTCAACCAACTGGTCTCTGTGTCATCTATCCAACCACCTCGCCACATTCTCGGATACAGGCTGCACAGCAGGCGCGGCACAGTTCTCCATGGGCTCTGCCTTCGCTCTTGCCCTGCCTTTCCTCAGTGATAAAGTGTTACCCGGAAGTGTAAGACAAAATAAACACTTTCCTCCCCAGGCTGCTTTTGGGCACAGTGTTCTGTCACAGATATAGAAATCCTAACTAAGACATCAATGCAGTTTAAATAATAGAAACAGAAAGTAGGGATGTGGTTGCCAAGGGCTGGAGGGAAAGAAGAGGGAAAATTTGCGCTTAATGGAAGTCACAGTTTTCCAAGACGAGAGAATTCTAGAGTGCTCCCCTCACAGCAATGTGAATATACTCAAAACCATTGAACTATACACTTTAAAATGGCAAAGATGAAAAATTCAACACTGTTCATTTATAAACACAATTTCAAAATCAGGTAAAGAAGTCTTGTAGTTTGGCCAGTAAAGTACTTGCTATGCAATTGTGAGGACCTGAATTTGATCTCTGGAACCTATGTTAAAAAAAAAAAACCTAAAAATCCCGGTGTGGTTTCCTCTCATCAGGCAGTGCTGGTAACGTGGCCACAGGCAGATGATCCCTGGGACTCGCTGGCCCCACCTTATCTAATTGTCAAGTTCCAGCCCTCCCCCCCCCACATATACAGTTAAAAAATTTTTCCTGAAGTACTATTCAGCGGAAAAAACAATGGGATCTTGAAATTTGCAGGCAAATGGAAGGCATTAGAGGAAATGATCCTGAGTGAGGTAACCCAGACACAAAAGACAAACATGGCATGTACTCACTCATATATGGATTTTAGATATGGATCAGGGGAGTGTCAGCCTACAATCCCAGTGCCAGTGAGTCTGGGAAACAAGGAGGTTCCCAAAAGAGATGCATGATACCCCAGAGAAGTGGAATGAGGCAAGATCTCCTGAGCAGATTGGGAACATCGGAAGAGGAGAGAGGGAACCAGGAAAAAGAGAGAGGGATAAGAGGAGTGGAGAAGAAGGCATGGGGGAGCAGGAAGGTTGAGTCGAGTAAGAATAGAGGAGAGCAGAATGAGAGATACCACAATAGATGGAGTCATAATAGGCTCGGGGAGAGAGCTGACACTAGTGAGATCTCCAGAGATCTACAAGGATAACACCAACTGGCAAACTAAGCAATAGTGGAGAGACTACACTAATAGGCCCTCCTTGATGATAAGGTTGGTGACTACTCTATATGCCATCCTAGAACCTTCATTTAGTGACTGATGGAAGCAGAGACAGATACCCACAGCTACACACTGAACTGAACTACTGGAACCTAGTGACAGAGATGGAGGAGTGATGAATGAAGGGGTCAAGACCCACAAAGACAGCTGACCAGATAAGGGGGAGCTCTTGAATCCCAGATTGATGGCTGAGAGGCCAACAGGGGACTGATCTAGACTCCATGAATGTAGTCTCAGTGAAGAGGCCACAGAAATCACTGGGGCCTTGGATAGTAGATCAGTGTTCACCATGGTTTATGAATGATCTTTGGGAGCCCATTCCAAATAGAGGGATGCTCTCTCAGCCTGGACACATGGGGAAGGGCTCTGAATGAAATGATAGACTCTGAAGATCCCCCCAAGGAGGGCTTCACCCTCCCTGGGAAATGATGTAGGGATGGGATGGGGGGCTGGGGGACTGGTAGAGGGACAAGGGAGGAGAGGTGGGAGAGGGAGCTGGGATTGACATGTGAAGCATTCATGTTTCTAATTTAAATAGAAACGTATATTGAGGAAAAATTTCCTTGAAGTTTCTTTGTAGACATAAATTCTTTGGCAGCGGAGTCACTTGGATTTTTTTATCTGGATGTATTTTTCAGCTTTTGTTTTTCAGAATTTTTTAAAAGATTTTATTTATTTATCATGTGTATAGTATTCTGCCTGCATGTATGTCTGCAGGCCAGAAGAGGGCACCAGATCTCATTATAGATGGTTGTGACCCACCATGTAGGCGCTGGGAATTGAACTCACGACCTCTGGAAGAGCAGCCAGTGCTCTTAACCTCTGAGCCATCTCTCCAGCTCTTGAATTTTCTTATACCAAGATTTGCTTGTAATTTGGGTTTGGGGGTCTGAAGTGGTTGGTTCCAGGATCTTTGGGTCTGCTGACCAAGGGTCACTACCCTTTTTCTACCCCAATGGGCAAAAGTAACTGGGACTCTTAGTGGCTCTGGAGGTGACAGATTTGAAAGAGCTAAGGATGGAGGGATGGGTGTTCTGGCTTTAATGCAGGTTCTACATGTAATATAACTGTTTAGTTGTATTTTTCTATCAGAACAGTGCTTCTTAAACCCTTGGGATTTCCTGACAGGACATCCTTTGGAACACATCAGGTTATGCTAGTGGAATGACTTTGGGGGTGGGGGTGGTTGCCAGAGGAACCAATCAGGTAATTAGAAGGTTGGAACTTTCAGCAAACGTCTACCTCTGGGGAAGTAGGAAGGACGTGACATTTAGTTAAGTGATCAAAGGCTAATGATTTAATTAAATTTGCCTACATAATGGAACTCCACAAATTCTTCTAAACAACAGAGTTCAGACATTGGTGTTGAAGGTGCTGGGAGGCAGGTGTGTCTAGAGAAGGCCTGGAGCTTTATGACGTTAACCCATCTGGCAGCTCACCCTTTATCACTGCCAATTCACCCTCCTGAGCTACGTGCCTCTAATAAAGCTGTGATCCTAAGCAAAGTGCTGTCCTGTGTTCTGAGAGACAGCTATTGAACTTGAGGAGCAGCTTAGGGAAGCCCCTGCACAGCTAACCAGTTACAAGGACAGGTGGCGCCGATCTGACCATCTGGGATTGGTACCCAAAGTAAAAGATCATCTTGTAGGACTGAGCCCCTAACTTGTCGGAACGTGACACTAAGTCCATGTAGCTGGTATCAGAATGGAACGGAACTGGAGTTCCTCAGTAGCGCCAAGCCTCCCCAGGTCTGCACAGTTAATGTTTCTCCTTTCCTAAGTAATGCGGTTGAAGTAGATGCCACCTATGAAGGGAGGCAGAGGCTCAAGCCAGCTTGCCAGTGAGGTATGAGTGGCAGCCAGGCTGACAAAACAAGGGCTAGTGTTAAGGCTATTGTGTGTCACGCTGACCCGGGCTAGCCACGTGGGCATAGCCAGCAGCAATTCTTCCTTCCTGCAGAAGCCTCATTCCCACCTGAGATGCTCAGAGAGAGGCCATGAGCTCAGGAAAACACCATATTGTTCTGTGATGTCACCTCTGGAATGTTCTGAGTGTTTTGGTGACCAGCTTATGCATAGGACCTATACCTGGCACCTCACATTGGTATGGCTTTTTACTTGATATAGAAATCATAGTGTAAAACTAGGAAGAGTTGTGATGATTTCTGCTTCAAAGACTTGTAAGAGGGCTTTCTATCAGTCAATTCCTGTCTTGGTTTTTGTTCAGTTATCAGTACCGATCAGTTACCAATCACTGAGCAGTAAGACTTCTGGTCAGGTACCACGTACATATGCCTTGAGACTGAGATTTTTTATAAGGTATATAATTGGTAAGAAGGGCATAAATGTGGAGAAAGAAATGTATTTCAGGTGAGCCACTGAGGCCCTGAGGATGGGTTGAGAAGGAGAAATCTAATTTTTTCTTTTTCACAGCACTCGAGGCCAAATTTTACAAGAAAGAGAGATACCAGATCTGAAATCCTAGAAATTCCAATCAATGTGGTTCTACCTCAGGTAGGGACAATCATGGAAGGCTGTAACTTGCTAGAATAACCCTGTTTCTAAGCTTTACAGAACGCACAGAGGAGTCAGCCACTCAGATTCTTGTCATGGTTTTTTCCTGCTTATGTGCCTTGTGGAGGACACATGGATTTGCTGAACCTTGGGATCCTCTGGCCTTGAGTGAGGGGACTGGGTTGGATGGTCAGGTCCTCCAGTGCTAGCCTTTCAAGATCTGTTGATACTATGATAAAAATCTAACCTTCCCAAAGGAGACCCTTCATTGCTTGGTAGTCTGAGAACTAGAGTCAACCTTGTATCCAGACGCATAAGAATGAACACAGGAGCTGAAACCCTAGAATGGAGCCCATCTGCAGTTGTCAAGAGGATTAAGCCCTGCCATAGGCCAAAGATGGTTTCCTGGGGGTGAATGTCCACTTGTTTCTTTTGAGGCCAGTGAATGGTTAAAACCCTTGCAGCTTGTGGTACCCAGGTCTCTCTCACACAGCAATTTTCTCAGAGGGACTCCCTTTCACTTGGAGTGTTCCTTCTGTTGCTATGTCACAAAGGGGTGGCCTTGCTTTCTCCATAGTCACCCAAGAGCTCATTGGAAGACCAGGGTCATGCAACCAGTGGAAGGGAAATGTAGGATGGAGCGACCCAAGGCACAGGTAATTTCCCTAAAGTTTGGTCTAGGGAGGTATGTACAAAAGAGGATGGATCTCTAGCTGGTGTTCTCTGTTGGTGTAATTATAATCAGCTCAGCAAATATGGTCAGGAGGAGACAGAAACACAGGATGAGGAAATCACCTGTGTATTTGTTTTCCTTACAGCATTATGGTGAACAGCCGCGGTTACATCTCAGCTCATGATAGCTAAGCCAGAATATTAGGCAACTATGTCCTGGGCATCCTATAGAAGAACAAGGACCCTTTCTAGGTCTGATCCCTAACACATAGAATACACATCTGTGTGTGAGGGTGGGCGTGGTTCCTTTGGTACCTTACTAGCCCACATATCAGGGGCAGACAGGAGATGCCAGCCTAGATGTGGGATTGGGAATGGGGTTGGGGATAAGATTTGAAAGTAGTTGTATTACTTGCTGTTCACATTGTGGTGACCAAATACCTGGCAGGAAGCAAGTTAAGGGGGAAAGTCTATTTTAGATCTTGGTTCATGGGGTAAATCCATTGTGCACCGGAAGCTACGGTGGTGGGGTCACTGCCTCACATCGCGGCAGATCAGTGTTTTATTCAGTCCAGGATGCTAGCTCATGAGCACTAACCACATTCAGTATGGGCCTCCCCTCTGTTAGTCCTTCCCCATAAAGTCCCCACAGACACATCCAAGGATGTGTGCCTTGCTAATGCCCTAGGTGTTTCTTAAGCTGACACAAAACCTTACTGCCATGTGATAGAAAGATTAGAAAGATCCATCTACCCTTGGCATGACTTTGTCCCTAGCTCCCAGCACAAGCTTAGCAGTCAAGGAGAAAAGGTGGTTGAGAAGTCTTGGGTTTGTTCCTGTGCTGTAGGGCCTGGTGCCACTACTTGGGTCTTGGAAGGCGGAGGGATATGAAAGGAAGGGGTCACTGCTGTCTGGAGATGTGGCCTCGAGTGTGCCCGCCAGGCTTAGTCAGCAGTCATCTATTGGTCACTTAAGCAAGCAACTGGTGTTGGAAAGCAGGAAGAGTCTATTTCTTCAATGTGGCAACACTGGAAGGAGAAAAGAAGTTATCTAGTGATCCTCTGAGTGCATCTGGGACATGAAGTTTGGGTTTAAGTAGAGGTGCAGAGGTTCACATAGCTAAGCAGTCCTGGTCTGGGCGGGGTCCAGCCCAGCATCATTGTGTCATCCCAGTCTCTTCTGTGGGTGTCTGACAAGTTATTATGATGTGCGAAATCTCTGAGAGACAGTCTTCCCTCTGCTGCCACCAGCATTCTCAGCCTTTACATTTTCCAAACGTAAGGCTCCTGGAGAACTTTCTTGGTGTCCATTGTTTCAATAATCTGATAGCTAGAAGGATGGATGTAAGTATCTCTTTAGGATATCTTCATTCCTGCCAGGATGTTACAGGCACAAGCTAGACAACCTGTCTGGACACCCTAGACTGGTCCTCTTGGGTAGGGAAAGGCCTGTACACTCATGTCCCTCCTCAAATGGGATAGTGGGGGGCAGGATTATCACGAGACGCAAGATGAGGAAGGCTATCGTGTTGGCCACAGTACAAGTATAAGGCAGAGATTTCACAGCTGTTGGAATTGGGAGGCTCAGTAACAAGGGGGGAGCTGAGGTTTAACCCAGGTCAGGGTCCAGCCTGTCATGCTGTTCAGTGGGGTCAGGTGATGTCTTAGCTCTAACTCTTGTCTTGCTTCTAGAAGCTGGTGCATCTTCTCCCCTCATCTAGACTGTGGCTGCTAACCCCCAAGCTGCCTGTACGTTTCCTCTCCAGGTAGCTTCATTCTGAGTTGACTTCCTTCTCTTTGGAAGGGAATTGTAACAGCGCCTCTGGCTCCCAGCTCTTTGGGGTGGCTGGAGTTCTCAATTACACTGCAAATGCTATGATTCACTAGTTACGGCCTTTAGGTCTTTTCAGGTCTTATTGATTTCACATTTTTCTTCCTCACATTGAACACATGCTTTTTTTCTTCTAGAACATTAGCTTGCAAGCCATAGTGTTATTTCCTGTCCAAGCAACTGATGTCCTTCTACACACAGACTCACTTTTCCAGGCATTGAAGCTTCCCCAGTGAGCTCTCTGAGTTTCATTTAGACACTGTTAGTGCTAGACTGTCAGTGGAAGATTAGCGCGAGGTCGTCAATGAGAGAACTGCATCTGGGTCAGAATGCGCGCTGACAGTACTTCCCAGAGCCCACTCCATTTCCCTTTGTCTTTTCCTCCTTCCTCTTTGGCTCACGGCAAGGCCAACTGGAATAGCTTCAGAGCAAGATTTTAGGAGAGTCTATCAATTATCTGAGATGACTACATCGGATATCTTTATTCTCTTTGCTGTTAGCATTAAAAATCTATCAAAACCAATCACATTTACTTCGTGAATTATCTTTCCATTTGTTAGCATTTAGTAAAACACACTATATTTAGCTGTTTAGCATAGGTGAGAGGTTTTTTTTTATGACAGTGGGACTCAGCTGTGAAAGTTAGCACTGTGGTGTTTCCTTCTAGTACTCTGGTGACTTTCAGTTTCCCATGCATTAAAAGAACTTCAGCTGGCTGAGCATTCCCTACTGTTAACCCTCAATAGTGTTGGGGAAGCAGGCACTTTAGAAACTTGGTCAGCCGGCTTGGGCTTTCTGGGAGCATGAGGATGTCCCTTCTGGATGGGGAGAAGACTTCAGTGCTGTTTCCTTCGTTTTCTGTTACTACAACAAATGTCCAAGGACAGACAGTTCACAAAGAATGAAGAGCATGGCTCTATACTAGCACCTGGTCATCCGTGTTGTGTCCTACCGTGGTGGAGGGCATCATTTGGTGACATACAGCAAGCCACAGGGAGCTCACTTTATAACAGATGTTCCTGCGACAGCCCGCCATGATCCAGTCCACTTTGCGAAGGTCTCACTTCTCAAACGCCATTAATATGCGACTTTGGGGTTTAAGCTCCCAGCACATGAATTATAGAGGACACATTCAAATCACAACAGTGCATGTCAGCTAAGCCTGAATGCTCACTGTCTAGTCCCGCTCCCAAACTCTTTAGGGGGGAAGGCCACCAATCCCAGTAACTCCATCTGAGAAGATTTCTCCTTGAGAGTTCTAGTCTTTAGAAATCATACAGCACCCGCAGAGACTCTGGCAGTATCCCCCCCCCCCCTTTCTCCATTGCCTTTTGTTCCCTTTGATCAGTTGGCTGCTCTGCTGTGTTTTCCAGGATCCCTGGAAATAATGTGCTGTGGGGGGGGGGGGCAATGACTCACACTAAGAATGCCGGGTAAAGGTAGTAGGATATTTATTCAGACAGAGAGAAGTAACTTACTGGGAAGCTGGGAAGCTCTCTGAAACGTGGCCAGAATCCAAGAGGAGAGCGTGCCAGGCGGCCCTCTCTATTTATTCCCCTCTCCCTCACGTACTGTAGCCACGCCCGTTGGGGTGGGGCGTGGCTAAAGCTGCAGGTATGTCTCTCCCTACAGTGTGCTATTGGTGATTTAAAGCATCTTCATTAGAAATGAAATACCAGGAGGGGTCGGGCAGGGAACTTAATCCCCAAAGTCACATATTAATGGTATTTGAGAAGTGAGACTTTTGCAAGGTGGACTAGATCATGGCGGGCTGTCGCAGGAACATCTATTATAAAGTGAGCTCTCTGTGGCTTGCTGTGCTCAGGAAGGATTCCAGCCCATAGGTAGAGTTTCAGGCACCCGTGAGGGCCATGTATGTATCCAAGGCTCTCTTCCTGGATCCCCAGCACTATGCATTGTTGGGTCACAGCTATGAGTATACTACCCTGGCTCCTGAAGACAGTCTCTTGGTCATTTAACACCGAATGGGGGAGGTGTGACGAGCCTCAGAGTCACATGTGCGCCCCTTCCACAACTTCATTCCCTATTCTGCCACGAAAGAGCCAACTTTGTTCTTTTTCACCCATCTGCTTTCCATCTCTATGTGAGAACATGTCCCAAAGCCCAAGAAGAGACTTCCTTCATGGAACCTCCCAGGATCAGTAGAACCTTCCATGATGTTCCAAATGCAGACAGACCTCTTGCCAGGACCCAGGTCATCAAACAGATTAGATCACCCAATGGGAGAAATCTGGGACTATCATTGACCTGGCCCAAGACCCCTTTGGAGAAGGACAGGGATCTGAATGCCAGTTGAAGGAGACTGGGGTCTTGAATCTACGTGTATTTGCTCAGCCTTGTTACTTACATTTTGGCAGAGCCTTTTGTAAAGCAATGCTTTCAGTATTTCACGGTGGTTTAGAACAGGAATTTGTAAATATTACCAGCAGGATTCTTTGGTCTTTGTGACACTTTGTCTACCACCTGTTCTCTTACAAACCCAAGAAGCAGGCACAGCAGCCACATGCTCATTTTCAGAGGTGATGGAGAAACAAGGACGTCTCAATGGGACTCAGTCTTGGGAGTTTTGAGATTAAGGCTCTTGGGGCTTTGGATTCTAGGTTCAAGATGATGAACATGGTTGCTGTCCTGGCTTCATTTCTGTTGTAGTGATGAACTGTCCCCAGTATGAACTGCTTAGGGGAGCAAGGGTTTATCTTTTTTACAATTACAAGTTACAGCCCATCACTGTAAGGAAGGCAAGACAGGAAGGGGAGACACCTAACCACATCCACATCAAGAGCAGAGGGAGGCTAATTACATGTGCTCTTCTGGTATTTAGCTTACTTTCTCCACTCTTACATAGTCCAGGACCCAAACCCAGGGTATGTCGCTACACATTGTGGGCTGGATCTTCCCATATCAAGTAACCCAATTTAGAAAAAAAAAACAAAATAAAAAGAAAACCCTTCACTGGTGTTCCACAGGACATCCCAATTGAGAATCCCCCCTCCCTTCCAGGTGATTCTAGATTGTGTTGATGATTAAAACCACCCATCATGGATGTCCATCCAGTCAGTATGCTGTGTGCAGGAGGAAGCCTTTACAGGGGTTGCTTTTAGATTTTGAAATATTTGAATATGTAGATGGAGACAGAAGGGAGGGAGGTTTCTCAGGGAATGGAGCCCAAGCACAAACATTAAATACGTATCTACATAGCGTATACAACTCATAATAATTTTATGCACTATTTTAGTGCACCTGTGTCTTTTCATGAAGACAGGTGTAGAATTTCTTACTTGTGGCATCCCGTGGGTGATCACAAAGATTTAGATTTTGGAACTGAGATTCTCCAGGTTAGGGATGTTCAAGCTAAGCTAAAATAATATTTCATTTGCCAGTGTTGTGAGGATTAAGTGAATTATGTAGGTCAAATGCAACCTCGTAACCAGCTGGGCAGCCTGCAGATGTCTGCAACTCCAGCTCTGAGGGACCTTGCCCAAATTCTTATAACTGATACCTGGCAAGGACTGAAGCTGAAGAGAAAAAAAAAAAACACTATTGATTCTGAAATCCATGCCTTTAGTTTCTAGCATATGATTGGATCTTATTATCTTTGGATTTCATTTTTTGAGACAGGGTCATTCTCTATGCAGCCCTGGTTTGTCTGGGACTTGCTATGTCGAGCAGGATGGCTACATCCTGGTTACATTCCTATATGCACTGCCTCCACGTAGCCGGGGTTACAGGCTGTGCAAGGCATAGCTCATCATTCATGGACTTTATAGTTATGGATTTATAGACCTTTGGGTATTCCAGCATCAGAGCTCATAGAATACTTGGGGTCATTCTTGGATCCATAGAGAATCTGCGTGGGAGTATATGGCCAAGCACTGGTCTCCAGGCACCCCAAGTTTGAACTCTCATCCTGGAAAATAGTGTCCTGTTTGCAGTTCATATACCACTGTGTTTCTGAAACTTGTGCTTCCTGTTGGTGGTTTCCTCGCATAAAGTGGCATCTACACACCCTGTTAAAGACTGTTGCTAATTACAGTGTGTCTACGCTGTGCCTCCCAGAGCAAACTTGTTAGATAAGCTCTGCTCAGGCCCGGTGCATACACTGTCGATCTACAGATTCGCGAGGGCGCCTTTATACAGAAGCAATGATCAATGACCAGAGCCTTATCGGAATCTAACCCAGCATCTCCCCTAGGGACCATGATTCAGTGTTCATTAATTCAAGAAGAAAGGTACCCAGAATAACAAAGGCTGACTGGATTTCCTTGGGAGGATCCTGGAGGCCCACTAGTATCCTCAGTCACTTTCTCCTTTAACAGTTTCCTTGCTCTCTCCCACAGAGGGGCACCGCTGAGCCCTTCCTGAGGTTGCACAACCTGTACAGCACTCCTCGCTGCTCCAGGCAGGCTGGGTTGCCCCGGATGAGCCGCAGGGTAGTCAGCCAGCATTCCTACCCACTCAACCGCTTCTCCTCGGTGCCCTTTGACCCCATGGACCGCCCCACCTCCCAGGCTGACCTGGAACTGGACTACAACCCTCCCAGGGTGCAGCTCAGCGATGAGATGTTTGTCTTCCAGGACGGGCGGTGGGTGAACGAGAACTGCCGCCTGCAGTCCCCTTACTTCTCCCCCTCCTCCTCCTTCCACCACAAGCTGCACCACAAGAGGCTGGCCAAGGAGCATCTGCTGCAGGAGGAAAACAAGTCCCTACGGGATGAGAACCGGGCCCTGAGGGATGAGAACAAGGCCCTCCGCAAGGAGAACAAGATACTGCAGGTCTTTTGGGAAGAGCACAAGGTTACCCTGGGCCACGAGGAGAGTTCGTCCTCCTCGCCCCTGCTGCACAAGGAAACGGCCTCCCAGGAAGTGGTGAAGAAGGACAATGGCACCTTGCCTGCCCAGCGGAGCAAGGAGAACACCCTACAGCTCATTCGAGAGGAGAACCGGGCCCTCCAGCAGCTGCTGGAGCAGAGGCAGGCCTACTGGTCCCAGGCAGAAGACAACGCAACTTCTGCCGAGGAGGGCAAGCCGACCCCCTCACCCAAGGAGGAGCCCCATAATCCTGGGCTTCTGCCGGACCAGAGCCCAGGCCTCTCCTCCCCATTTGAGGAGCACAAGGGGCCGCCTGCAACACAGGAGGACTCTAAGACACTGCGCGCCCTGAGGGAGATGGTTAACAACTTATCTGGACCATCTGGGGAAGAGGAGGGCAAAGTAGGCCCCAACCTGGCTGACAGCACTCAGCCTCTGCAGCTGCTGAGAGAGATGAGCCAGGCGCTGCAGGCCCTGAGGGAGGAGAACCGGCTGCTGCAGGAGGAGAACCGGGCTCTGCACGTCCTGCGTGAGGAGCATCGAGTCTTTCAGGAGGAGAACAAGGCCCTGTGGGAGAACAACAAGCTGAAACTCCAGCAACGGCTGGTCATCGACACGGTGACTGAGGTCACAGCCCGGATGGAGATGCTCATTGAAGAGCTGTATGCCTTCATGCCAGCCAAGAACAGTAAAGATCCCAAGAAGCCCAGCAGGGTCTGAGGCCTTGGCAGCTGATGTAGACACAGATCAAGCACAGCGCAGGAGACCAGAGAGAATCCCCAGCCTCCCTTTGTCCTCCTCACCTTTGCAGCCCCCAGCGCATGTCTGTGGAACAGCAGAGAAAGGGCCGTCCTACACCCAGAGACACAATAAAGGCGGAGGAGGCTGGGGCAGCCAACACCAATGTAGAGTTTTGGCTTCTTCTTGTCCTCTGTTGTCATTACTCTTTTAACACCCCACTTCCTCTTCTGCTTCCTGTCCCCCTCTCCCCTCCCCCTCCTCACCCACCTTCTTATTATCCAATCCCCCTTCCTCTTTTCAACCCCTATGCTTTTCCTCCCCTTTTCTAGACTTAGCTGGCTATGGTGGTACATTTCTGCATTCTTAGGTTCAGAAAGCAGGAGGAGTGTGAATTTCAGACCCTACCTAGACTAGTATAGTAAAAGAGGAAGGGGCTGAGGTCGGCACGTGACATGGCATGATAAACAATGACTTTAGTCTTTAAAGCAAAATTGAGCTGAAAGTCAAAGTCCCTATAGACCTCTGCCCATACTCATCAGTGTCCCCTGCTAAGATTTATAAAAACAGACGAATCTACAATGACTCATCCAGAGTACATAGTTTGTTAGGATTCTCCTTAGACCTTGAGCCAGGAACCGTAACTCACCCTTCTCCTGGAGGTCTTGGCATGTTGGGACCCTCGGTATCCTTAGAACCCTGTGTGTGTGTGTGTGTGGTGGGCACTCTCATCTCTAATAGACATGGGAGCCAGAGTTCTAAGACAGTCACCGACTCACAGGTAAGAAAAGCTGTGTGGGGACTCATACTACAGGTCAGGTCAGGCTTCTTCATGACACTGTCAGTTTCCTAGTCCCTAAAAATTAAAGGTGCTTTTGGTGTCTGTTTTCCAGATTTAAGAACTTGACAAGTCTCATCCCCAAAGCTACATCAGAAATCCCAGAGGAGGGGGGACAATATGAGGTTTTCTTCTCACTAGTCAGTTGCATGTTTGCTCTGTACCCAGGGTGGACATTGACAGATGTACAGGAGAAGGCTAGTCATTTATTCTTTCATGTCACCTGAATCTGAAAAATGGGAACTGGTTGTTGATGGGCCTCTGGGCCTTAGAAGTTTTTCCTCCTCTGTTTGTTCAATTAATTCATCATTCAGGGTATCATAAATATCACACCTATTTAAGTCAGGTTACTAACCCCAGGGTGTGTGTGTGTGTGTATGTGTGAGGGGGGTTACTTTTGTCTTTTGATGAAACCAAATCGATTCTGTTATGCTGTACAACGGGAAGACAAAAGACACACTGCTCAGGTTTGTGTTCCCAATATTTAACTTGGATTAATCTACATAACAGCAGTTAAATGTTGTCTCATGAGCTGAGAGTACTCAGGGAACTTAATACTATTTAGCCACGTCAACTTTCTCTGTCGGGAAGAGTCTAAATGGATAAAAAAAAAAAAGCCAGACAAGCCATAAGATGCCATTTTTATGGTGTGGGGGAGATTTATTTCATAACATTGCTTCCTTGTACAGCACAGTGCAATCTGTCAGACTGCCAGCACTCTAGTGGAATCTAATTTACAGTGGAACAGTAAGAAAGTTTACTGTTTTTTTTAAAAATTTTACTTTTTTAATGTGTATTGTTTTTATTGCATGTAGGTCTATGTGAGGGTGTCAGATCTTGGAGTTATAGACAGGGGTATTTCAGATACCCTCAGTGAGCTTTCTTAACTTTCTGGATTAGGAAGTCTTTTTTTTTTAAATCTAGTTCAATGGTCTGGTGAATGGGGAAAGATTTTAATCTTTAGACAGGGTAGATTTCTGTATTAATTCAATCTGAGCCTGAAGCAGGCAGTTGCCCTGAACTCCACTCCTTCCCTTATTTCCTGTGAGTATGAAATCATCCGATCTGGCCAATCCTACCTCCTCTATCTCTTTTGTGTTTGTAAGAGACTGGGTCCCTGTAGACCAGGTTATCCTCAAAATTGCTATGTAGCCGAGGATGTTCTTGAACTCCGTGTCATCCTGCCTTCCCTTTCTTCCTCTTCCTCCTGAGTGCTGGGACCGTTGGAGGGAATGAATACAGATATGTGCCACCATGCCTAGTTGATACAGTTGCTGCAGACAGACACAGCTTCATTCATGCTATGTGTCCTGGTTTTGTCAACTCAACAACCAACTAGAGTCATCTGGGAAGACGAAGCTCAGAGGAAGGAATGCCTCCATCACATGGGCCTATAGGGAAGTCTGTGGGTAGTTTTTGGTTAATGATCCACGTGGGGGGACCCAGCCCACTGAGGCAGTGCTGGGTAGTAGAGGGAGCCCAGGGTAGTAGAGGAGAGCAGGTTGAGCAAGCCCTGGGGAGCGATTCAGTAAGTTGAAGTCCTCCATGGTTTCTGCATCAGTTCCTGCCTTGACTTCCCTTAGTGATACAGTGTTGCCTGGAAGATGAAATAAGCCCTCTCCTCCCCAAGTTGCTGTTGGTCATGGTTTTTATCCCAGCAGTAGAAAGCCCTAACTAAGACTCTAGGCAGGTACTCTACAAACTGAGCCCCCTTCCTTACTCCCTCCTTTTTCCTGAACATGTCGTTTTCTCTCTTTTTCAGATCACTGACCCAGTTATCTTCTCTTGCCTGAATGATAATGGTCAAATCCTAAGTTAATCTATTTTTTTAACCTCGTTTCAGACGAGCAATTTAAAATATAGTCCTGGATATGCCACACCCTTTCTTCGGTGCTTTTAATAGCTCATTATTTCTCTTAGTGCTTTCTTACTAGTACACTGGGTTCAATTACAGCCGTGCAGGCATATTGATTCCTTTAGCTCGGAGACTGTCCACTCTGTGACAGCCTCACTGACTCACTCTCCACCTCACCTCCCATTCCATGTGGGCATCATTTGTTACAGGTGCCATATGTGGGAAAGATATATAGCAGAGCCAAGAAGCTTGGACCACTCCCCTGGCGCCAGGAATATTATCGGCTATGTTGCCCTGTGCAGTACTAACACAGCCCCCTAGGAATCACTGTTTACCCTTGTAGTTCTGTGCATCTAAGCTAGTCTTTGAGTTTGTTTATGTGTTTGGATTCATAATTATCCTCCAAGACTCAATTGGGAATCATTTATTTCAGGAATCCTTCCTAGAAGTTCAAGGTTAGGCTAAGAATGACTCATTTATTTGCTCTTTCTTTTCATCTTTTCTGGGGTTAGAGCTAGGGGTTAGGTGTAAGGTGTGGGGTTAGGCTTATAGGTTAGGGGTTAGAGGTTAATGTTAAGGTTAGGATTAGGAGTTAGGATTAAAGTTAGAGATTAAGGGATATATTTAGGGATAGGTCTTCTGTTCCCTTAGCCCTGAGTGTATTACCAAGAAGCAGTTTCTATGTGTCTGTCTCTCCTTCCAGCCTTAGAGTTCCTTGAAGACAAATTAGCTATCCTCCACCCAGCATCATGCCAAGCACAGGCTAGTACTCAGTAAATTAGGAGCTTGGGAGCATTTGGAGGTTAGGTACGATGCTCACTTGTGTGCTGGTAGAGCTAAAGACTCAAGGCTTGCTCCTAGCATCCTATTTCCATGTCATCAGCATTACTTGCTAAAAATTTAAGTCCCATGCATCAAAATGCTGAAGTGAGTATCATGAAGGATAGGGAGAGTGAAGATTCTCTCATTCTCAGCTGTTTCCGATGTTTTGCACAGCGGCAGATGTGAAGAGGCATGACACACCAGACAGACAGGGCAGTGAGGGTTGCTGCGTTAGCACTGGTACTATATGATGCTGGTATGCTCCTCCACAGCAACAAGGACTTAATACTATTTTAGCTGTTGCAGTCTGTAGACTATTAGTTGGTAGCAAATAACCATTTCCAAGATCATACGTGTACAACTAGACTGACACGGAACCAATATTAGAAAACAACAAAGCCACCAGTTGTAACAACCAATTGTCAGTTTATGAAAAACCTCACGGTTTGTTCTTGGATACCTCACCCCTGCCCATCACTCCCACACATAGGAAGTTAGAGAACAGGGCACTTTTAGAAACGTAATTTGTTGGAGTTCAATGGCTGCAGAAGCTTTTACCCAGGGCGCTGTGCTCAGAGAGCTCTCCAGAGATACCCTACAGTGGTGTCCTAAACCACACAACATGGGTAGATCCAGAGTTGTCTTCACTGATCATCCCTGGTGGGCCCGTTGTGAGGAAGGAAGGTGGGTGCATCTCAGGTATTAGAGTGAAAAGAGGGTGGGAGATCTGGTGGTGATTTTCCGACCAAGTGGTTCCTGGTAGAGGAGAAGGAGCTCCTACATGATGTATGTAACACAGCATGGGGAGGCAAAGTGTCTGTCTACTATCTGCCAGATGGACGCTGAGAATCTGCCATCTACATGCTGGAGAAACAACAAGCTGGCTGTGTGTCTTAGCATTTCTAGTGTTGTGAAGAGACACCATGACCACGGCAGCTCTTATACAGGAAAGCATTTAATGGGGGCTGGCTTACAGTTCAGAGGTTTAGTTCATTATCATCATGGCAGAGAGTGAGCCAGTGCACAGGCAGGCATGGTACTGGAGAAGGAGCTGAGAATTCTACCTCTGGATTAGCAGGCAGCAGGAAGAGAGAGACAGACACTTGGCCTGGTTTGAGCTTCTGAAGCCTCAAAGCTGCCCCCGTCTCCAGGGACAGACTTCCTCCAACAAGGCCATGTGTCCTAATACTTTCAAATAGTGCTACTCTCTGTGAGCCCATGGGGGCCATTTTCATTTAAAACACCACACTGTATAACTACTTTCCATTTGAAGACCTGAGAAGCGGCCAAGAGGTAGAGAGAGACAGGCAAAGATGACGCGTGTCCAAGATCAGACAGAAGACACTCAGCCTCCTCCACCCCCAGGTTCAGCCTCCTCCACCCCCGGGTTCTGCTGTGTCGGGCCTTTGTAGACTGGATGTCACTTGCCTGCACTGATCTTATTTCCTTATGCTAATCTCTTGTAGACACACCAAAAATAATGTTTTACTAGCTACCTGGGTATCCCATGACCCAGTCAATTTCACATATAAAATTAACAGTCACAGCATGTAGTAGAGAATGACAGGATCATTACAGTTTAGCTCGTTTGTCTGATTTCAGGGACTCCAGGGATTTGCTGATATTCCAACTAATTATTCTCCATCATTAA